CTCTTCTATGGTATATTCCATTTTAAAGGAGATCTCCCTATAGATTAAATCAATCTGTAGCCTTGCAGGTCTGTTGAACTCCTCAGTGATAATAGGTGGATTGATAACTGTGGTGACAAAAAGTATCCATCTCCATTTACAATTCCATCTCACAGACTGTCTCTCTTCTTATCACACACCTTGCCGTGCTGATCAATATTTTCCTGACTTCCTACCTACATTGCACATTTTTGCGGGTGGCCACACATGCAGAAACAGCTGCAGAGGATACAAGCATAGCAGTTTGCCTGCTTAACACAGGTCATCATGAACACATTACTCCCATGCTTCAGTCTCTCTTCTGGTTCAACTGAGGGCCCTGTCCCAATGTTCAAAGCCTTCAATGGGTTGTCTCCACTTACTGGGACCTCCCTGACAGCTATGTTCAACCAGAGCAATGAAATGATTGATCCATGTGGGAGAAAGCCAATGAATACAGATGATGAAATTTTAACAGCAGCTGGACCCAAATAATGGGTTTATTACTCACACCCCAGAAAAGGTATGAATAGCCATGAACCTCCTGGCTCATAGTGGGGAAATCACAAAACTTTTCAGGAAGGAGGAAGTTCAGGTATATAATAAAATGCCTTTTGTATCGGTACTTATGCAGCCACTGAGATCCCTAAAGCATCTCTCAGACACTGACCTGATTCCTACATTTCTTATGCATTTGAAAGTCCTACTGGAATCAATGGGAAAACACAGAGGTTAAGAAATGCAGTGTTGAGCCCATTGATTACAGCTTACAGTGCCCTACTCTGCAATAAGTTCCTGTGCAGATGTTATTGTTGTGATTCCCCATCACCCCAGACTCCCCTGCCTGCAATAATGGGGCCAAATCCAGTGAAGTACTGAGCACTGTCAATGCCTGTCGAGTGTCAATAGGAGTGGAGTTCGGCATCTTGCTGGAGCAGGGTCATAATGTGCTTTCAGTGACACGAGTATAATTTCAAAGCAGCTGCCCTGAAGTCAGTGGGGTTGCTTCAGCATACACAGGTGCGAATAAGAATAAAATCTGGTTCAGTTTGACTAACTTGTGTACATCAGGAGTAGCTCTCTTGAGACATTTATGGTATCACACCCTACTGCATACAGAGTGAATGAAAACAGCGTCAGGTCCAATTGTGTGTGACAATAATTGTGGGTCAGCTTTGAATCTCCTTCAGTTTATCCTAGCTAAGGATCTAACCTTATATTTTAAAGAGGTTTTCCATGACACCTCTGCATTTAAAGGCAGCATGTAAGTCAATGCAAAGCATAACTGCAGTATCCCCCACAGTAATAGGGTAAGGCTTGCTCTCTGCCATCATCCTGTAGGATCAGAGTAAAACACAGCACAGATCTACTAGGTACTTGAATCTGGTATAAAAACAGCAGAGCCCAAGGGGGCCAAGGGCAGGGGAACCACTAATCCTGAGCTGATTTATCATTGCTTCTTGCTGTCATAGATTGGCTGCACGGTGAGATATTTGCTTTGTCAATACATCCCTGATACAAGGCACAGCAGTGAAGTGGAAAACAATCAGAGAAACACATGGTGCCCACTTCTACATTCATACGGCACTCAATGGCAGTTTTGCCAGAATCAGGCCCATAGGATGCAACTCATAGATGTGTGACTTTTGATCCATCTTTTGGCTCTTTCTGGGGCAGCATATTGAACCGTCTGAAATACTCTAGCTGGCTGGGGGTCTGATGCAAACCCCACAGAAATCAGTGGGAGCCTTTCCACTTGATACACCTGTGTACATAGTGGTCCCTAAATACATATCCTTTGGGCTAGACTTTTTAATAATCCATTTAGCAGTATGCAAGGCAGACTGCATGCCCTATGCTATGAAATGAGATTTTATAGGATACAAAATAGAGTATAAAAAACATTTTTACATGACACGTGAATGATTTCTTGAGATATAAATTTCAGTCATTTTCCTAAGAGGAGAATCAATCTCTTTAATCTGGTAAAAAATAAAACAAATAACCAACCAAACAAAAAATCCTATTAACATTCGCTTTACAGGTCCTGTTTCTGCTTACACTGTAAAACAAGAGTAACTCCACTGAATGGAGTTACACCACATTTAATGGAGATACCAGAATTGGACCAGGTGGGGCTACTCACTCACCTGAAGAAACCAAGCAGGAATTTGGGCTCTGGATGCATTTTAAATGTTTCCTCAACTGAAGTGCCTATGAGATAGAACATATGATAAATGTTTAGGCTTTACATCCATTGCTAATATCTGCTAAAGATGTCCATCTACTGTGGGTTTAACTCCATCTGTGCTAGCAGCATTAAGAAAGCCAGGACATGTCTACAGCGTAGTGTTTTGCTGACACAGGTATTCTGGTTAGTAGTGTAAAAAAAACCCATGCCAGCTGACATAGCTAAATCAGCAAAACCCACTCTGTAGATGCAACTGTACAAGAAAAAGTCCTTAGAGCACTTTCATGATCAGATTGATAGGACCTACTCCGAACAGATTAAATGATCCAGTGCCAGTAACCTCCCCTATTTCTGTCCACTGATTCTGCTTGGTGATATAATCTAGTCTAGTACATCCAGTTAGCCAAACCCTGGATTACCTGAATGGTAATTGTGCTTTACTAGCTTAGTACTACTGATACCATATAACAAACTATTTTCTTTTCAGTCGGACTATGTTTAATGTCTCTACTATTGTACATTATGCATCATTTGTTAGCACATATCATTCATCATGCGATGTTGTGTCACTTATCTCAATTTTTTCAGCTATCTGGATGGCTTTTTGGCAACACTTTCCAAAAGGGTTCCACTAAGAGAAGTTGTATGGCAGTACAGCTATCAAGACGTAGCGTTTGCTATTGTACGGATGGGCATAGATAGCCTCCTCTCCCCCCAGGAAGTTCTGAAATGAATCGCTAGTTCACTCCAGGCAACAATCCCTTGCAGGGTCCGATCCCTTTGTCCCACGTGGTGGAGAGAAGCAGAGTCTGAGTGCTGGGCCCTGATCTGCCAGAGATCAGAGTGAGCCTTTCCCACTGTTTTCAGCCTGGCCTCAGAAAATGTCTGAAATGGCATAGACCTACTGGCATTGGGAGAGTGACTGTCCCTGTGCAGCCATCGGGGCTTTTCCAAGCTTATGCGAAGGCAGAATTCAGAGCTGGGGCTAACGGCCGATTGTTTTCTTCCCCCTCTTGTCTTTCTCTCCTGCTCTTGGGGGGGGCATGTGTGTGCATTTTTAATCCAGAAAACCCATGACAATAGGCTGTTGCTTGTGACTGCCTTTCAGTAAACCCAATCCCACTGTCCTCATTCTCTCATGACTTAGGGGTTGCGAAAATTTTAAATGAAGAGCCATTTTTCAATGACAAAAGGAAAAACTAAAGCCTGCCATTAAGCCTCATTCATTCCCCTCAGCAGACTTATCTATCAGGCTGAATGCTATTATCAAGCCCCTCTTTGGCAGGGAGCTTTATTGTTAACACCCAGGTATTTATATTCACATGTGCCCACTAGGGGCCAAAATCTGTGCTCTTCTACCTCCCTTCACTTCAGGAGAGGAGAGGGGGGTTTGGCCCCAATACTAAGAAAACTGTAAATGAAGCTGGAGCTTTTGAAGCTATTAACAGCCTAAAACCCCGGCCCAGACCCCACTGACTTTCAGGGGTTGCAGGGAGGAATTGAGCAATTCCACCATGGACCATCATCCAGCAAGTTTTCAATGGCACTGACTTCACTGAGGCATGCAGTGCATGGCAGGATCAGGCCTGTGCTGATAAGGGCATTTGTTTCAAAGTGAACACAGGGTTTTGAGACTGCAGGAGTGGACTCTTCAGACGGATCCCTACAACAGGCCTGATCCCACAACCCTAATGCAAGTGGCCCTTACCTAAAACATGTTCACAAACTATTCTCAGAGTTCAGTTCCTGCTTCTGATGATACCACTAATAACAGTTCTTTGATTCCCTTCCTTCAGTTCCACTCATGCATCCTCAAAATAAATCCCAGGAGCTCATTCCTTGAGATTTTTCAACCCCCTGAAAAAAAGGAATAATTCCACACACAAGAGGAATCTTTCTTTCATGGTGTCCCTTCAACAGATGGAAACAAGGAGTCCTGACACAAAGGGGCCTGAGTTACAAACAGGAACGCTCCTGAAGTCGATGGAGTTAAACCGGTGTGTCATCATCATCGTCACTCACCAGAATTGGGTTAATTGCCTATATGGCCTGATTCACTCACTATGATAAATCATGTCCTTATCCTCTTTTCTGGGGGACAGGTGAAGATCAGAGGACTGGATTAGGCGATCTCCCAAGGTCCCTTCCAGCCCTGTTTTCCTATGAAATGCCTGCACCCATTAACATTATACATGATGGCTCTGATTCTTCTCTGCTAACAATGTGGGATCAGAAGAAATAAGAGAATATCTACATTTACACCCATGGATGTAAGAGCACAATCTGGCCACTCAGCAGAGGAATGTTAAAAGGATGCAAATCCATTGACTTGAGTGGGCCTGATCCTGCTTCCAGTGGGATTATAAATATGCCATTGCTGGTTAGGGGTTCAGCTCTGATTCCATGAATGTTACCAGACCTCACTGTCTTTATTTACTAAGTGAGGCTAAAAATGTGCTTTTGCCAATTGTAGACATTTAACTGACCAAGCTGCCCTCTTATTAATGGAAGCTTGTAAATTAAAGCACATACTTCTACTCTGAGTTGAAAGCAACACTTATTTTTTTGTCTAGAGAGGAACAAACAGGCAAAAAAAAAATTAAATTAAGAAAAAAAATCTAACTGTGATTATTTTATTCCCAACAGTGTTTTTCAGTCTGAAAAAAAATGTAATACGCTACTGGAAAAAAAAAAATTCAAGGGGCAAAATAAAATTTAACCAAAGTTTAGACATGTTATAAATAAGTACAACTCCAGAGCATAATTTACACATATAAAAACATATAGAAATGTATATATAGCAGAGTCCATTACATACAAATACATATAAAAATATCTGGTGTTTATTTTCTTGCTAAAGTTGGCTGGCTAGATTTTGTCTTTGGTACTAGGCTTAAAGAAAATGAATGCTTTGCAAAACAATCCTGTTGCATACAATGCATGGGCAAACTGGGGTGGAGCTCCCCTATATTCAACTGGGAGCATCACCTGCCCAGGCACTGTCTGACACAAAAACAGGACAGAAAAGGTAGTCATTGATAAAGGGTGCTTTTTTTTTTTTTTTTGACTTCTTACATTCTACAAGGCACTTCTTGAAAACTTCTGAAGACACTCATCCAGTTAGTTATCCTTTGCAGAATTCAGCAGTAAACAGGCATTCTCTGTTAAGGAATGACTTTTATGGGGTATGCAGGTGTACTTTGCATCTGCTGGTGTGTGTGTGTGTGTGTGTGTGTGTGTGTGTGTGTGTGTGTGTGTGTGTGTGTGTATGCGTGCATGCAGGTGTGTGTAATACATCCTACGGTTTTCTTTCTGGGAAAACACACTGTAAGCATCCTGCTTGCAATGCAGTTTGTAAAAGCACATGGCACTCTGCTGTCCAATAACTTGCCTCTCTCCCCTTCCCCTTTAGTCTCATTCTCCATGCTGACCGCCCAGCATCCTACACCTCTGTTCCGTCCCGGGTGTAGATGAGGCTGTTAACTGTGAAGTTGTAGTAATGGTTGTACTGGGTGCCCTGGCTGCTGCTGCCCGGATGGAAGGAGCTGTAGTAGGCCGCAGAGGGCCCTGGACCGCGCTGCAGCTGTTCCGCCGGAGGCACCTCCTGGGAGGCATGCCCGGAGCCTGGGAAGGAGCCGCTGCTCAGCTGTCCAGCAGAGAAGTTCCTGTGATGCAGCTCGCTGCCCAGGCTGCCCATGAGACGATTTCCTCCGCCACTCAGTGAGCTCATGCCACTGAAGAAGCTGCTGAGGCAACTCGGGGTGGATGAGATGATGCCAGGGGACGAGGAGCTTTTTGGATGGTCCCTGGCAGGAGGTGATGGCTCCAGCTCTGGGGATGGGCTGTTTCCGCAGAGCTTGCCTGCAGCAGCTATGAGAGAAGGCTCTTCCTCAGCCTTCACCCCCGCCAAAGACGGGGCAGTGGAGGTCACTGCAGCAGCGTTGGGCTCAGAGCGTCGCTTCCGCTTGCGACGGAAATTCCCATTGTCAAACATCTTCTCGCAGTTTGGGTCTAAAGTCCAGTAGTTTCCCTTCCCTGAGGGCAGAAACAAAAAGAAAGTTGGAAAAGTTGCTCCTCGTGCGTGCAGTTCCACTCGCTGAGGATTGGTACCCTCCTTTCACCAACACTGAACTGATCTACACCCCTCACCTCCCTGGTGGCTAGGCTTCATGACCAGACCCCGAGTCCCCTCTCACCCCGGCTGTAGCCCCCCAGTGTGAATCATGCAGCTACACAAGATGGGAGTCCCCTCTACACAACCTGTGCTCTCATGCCACACTGGCTGAAAGGGACTGGCACACACAACTTCTTGTGTGTCCCCGCTACAGATGCATGATCATCCCCACCTTGGCAATCACATCAGAAACTGGGCTGGTAACCTCCAGAGCTGCCAAGCATGTGCTGCTACTCCATGAACCCTAAGATCAGGCAGTCAAGGCCCTATAGCATGCATATGCCATTCCCCCACGCTGCCAGGTTCATGTGCACCCCAGGCTCCGAGGGGGCCTGGACTCTGGTGCAAGCTTACACTTGTCCTTCCACCTGCATCCTGCATAGCTGTTGCAGGGCTAAGTAGAGGGTACAACAGTGACACTCGCCTAGTGTATCTCATCCACCTGTGACAACAAGTTGCCCAGGGGGCTCATGCTGCATGCACAAAAGCCTACTGTGATGGCGGTGAGGGATAAGCAGCAGTACAGCCCTGACTGTGGTCCATGGCCTGACCCCTGAGCAGGGATATGCCCTGCATCCCCAACCCAGATGGACGGCACCCTCCAGGACTGAGCCATCTCTGCAGCTGTGTCCCAGCCCGTGATGCCTCCATCCAGGCAAGGGACCTGTGTCTTGAAAACCAGCCGCGCTTCGCACTTTTGCACCTCTGCGAAGCAGCTTGGTCCAGCCCTGGGGATCTAAATTTGATCTGCTTTCTCTAGAGTGTGATAACAATCACGAAGACCCTGAGCAGGATCTGGCTCCTGCCCAGGTGGCACCAAGCGTTCAGCCCAGCACCAGGGTTACAGCTCTGTGCAGCTCCATAGCTCCCTCCCTCCCCACCTCTGGCTCCTGCCTGGGGCAGCAGTGAGGGCAGACCTGGTGCTGCATGCTGCGTTGGTCCAAGGCCGCACAGCATGGGAGGTTACCTCTACCCCTGGGATCTGGGTGCATCCTGCAGGGGCAGCAGATCCCTGGCAAGGAAGGAACCCCTCCTCTGCCTCCCCCAGCACCCCAGCAAGCTCCCCCTCTGTAGTCACTTTGCCTGGGGTCATAAGAACTACCATTGACAGTGTCAGACCATAGGTCCAGGTTGCCCAGTCTTGGTGCTCATTATAAACCTACGACCCTCACTCCTTTTTGCCCAAGGAATCAATTGTTACACCCCGAATGGCCTCCGTTTGAAGGAAGGCTTCTAGTTTTAAATGGTGAGCCTAGGCCCACACTTCCCCGATGGTATCACCAAGAGGCCTGGGTCACAGAGCGGCAGAGAGTGCAGTCAGAGAGGGACCTGGGTCTGACCAGGGGCTTTTCCCTGATGTTCCCCTGGCAGCCTCCAGCAATGAAGCTCTAGGGAGTCCTGATTCAGCAGCTGAACCCCTCACTCCCAGGCCCAGGGGCTACCGATGCCCCTTTCCTCCAAGCAATGTCCAATCCCTTTTTGGATGAGGCTGAACTGCGTCCACCCTGGAGCCCCCACCTGCACTGGCTCCTGCTCCCTTCACTGCCGGCCCGGCCCCTAGTCCTTGTCTGGTGGGAGCCCCTAATAAATCCCCATTAACTTTCTCTTCCCCACTGCTCTCCCATGACTTGGGCGTTGCTAAACAGTTTTAAATGAAGAGCCATTTTTCAATGACAAAAGGAAAAGCTAAAGGCTGCCATTAAGCTTTATTCATTGTCCTCAGCAGACTTATCCATGAATGCTATTATCAAGCCCCTCTTTGGCAGGGTGCTTTATTGTTAACACCCAGGTATTTATATTCACATGCACCCACTAGGGGCCAAAATCTGTGCTCTTCTATCTCCATTCACTGCAGGAGAAGAGGGGGGAGTTTGGCCCCAGTACTAAGAAAACTTTAAATGAAGTTGGGATTTTTTGAAGCTATTAACAGCCCAGTCCTAAAACCCTGGCTCAGAACCCATTGACTTGCAGGGGTTGCAGGGAGGAGTTGAGCAATTTCACCATGGACTGTCATCCAGCAAGTTTTCAATGGCACTGACTTCACTGAGGCATGCAGTGCATGGCAGGATCAGGCCCGTGCTGGTGTGGACATTTGTTTCAAAGTGAACACAGGGTTTTGCTGAGTTAAGGCTGCAGGACTGGACTCCTCAGAGGGAGCCGTGCCCCTCACTCCCAGGCTCAGGAGCTACTGATGCCCCTTTCCTCCAAGCTGTGTCCAGTTCCTTTTTGGATGGGGCTAAACTGCTTCCACCCCGGAGCCCCGACCTGCACTGGCCCCTGCTCCCTTCACTGCCAGCTCCTAGTCCTCATCCGGCGGGAGCCCCTAGTAAATCCCGCTGCATTTTCTCTTCACCACTTTTCCCCCTGCATCTCCCCCACCGTGCCCAGCGACCTCCGGGCTGCAAGTGCCTGCCCAGGTCCCCTCTGCCGGCTCCCACCTGCGCTACAATGCTGTGTCTCCCCTTCCCCTTGCAAGGGTCTCCCCTTGCCCTTGCCCTGGCCCTGCCTGGGTCCTCCCCCAGAGGTCTCCCCTGGCCTCCAGCAACCTGCCCCCCGACAAGTGCCCAGCCCAGGGTCACTTTTAGCCCCTCTCCCAGAGCCCAGCCCCACCGCCCAGGCCGGGCGCCCCCGCAGCAGGTCCGGCGCGGGCCGGGCGCTCACCCGGGTCGTCCTCGTCGCGGGGCACCTTGCGGAAGCAGTCGTTGAGGGAGAGGTTGTGGCGGATGCTGTTCTGCCAGCCCGCCTTGCTGCGCTTGTAGAAGGGGAAGTTCTCGGTCACGTACTGGTAGATGCGGCTGAGCGTGAGCCGGCGGCCGGGCGCGCTCTGGATGGCCATGGCGATGAGCGCCGAGTAGGAGTAGGGCGGCCGCACCAGGCGCAGCAGCTCCTCCTGCCCGGCCAGCCCC